AACAAGCCTGTTGTGAGTTGGACCTGGTATTATTATTTAATTTATGATATTTATTTAGGATTATATTGGAGGCAAGTTTATTATAACAATAAATTTATTTTAAGATGATTAAACTGTTTTTATTTTACAACTTGTCTACAACTTTACATACTACCGATAGGCATACAAACAGCATCTCCGAATCTATTTAGTGTAAGAAAATAAAATTTTAGGAATGTGTTCTAATTTTATTACGTTATTTTTAACATTATTTTGTTTCAAAATTTTACCTTTTTTCAGGCTACCCTATGACTCTTCGCCATAGGGTACTATAGAGTCATTTAAACATGTAATCAAATTAAATAATATTTTATAAAAAAAATATTATAAATTCATCCTTAACATAAGTATCGTTTTATGATCAGATTTTATATATTATTACAATCAAACCTCTAAACGACGACCACTGACAGAACATAAAAAATGGGCGTTGCTCGGAGGTGGCCGTTGTTTGGAGGTTCGTCCGGATGCATTTTGTTCTTGAAAACTGCTCGCTGTTTACAGGTGACCATTGCTGGGAGGTGGTCGTTACTGGAAGATCGACTGTATACAATTTTTATAAAATTAAATTAAGTGAAAATATTATTACTGATTAGTTTTCTTCAGCTTAATTTTATTCTTAAGCCAAGATAATAATACTAATAAGACAATTAAATTATTCGTGGCTTTGATGAATAGAAACAATTATTACTAAAATAAAAGAAATAAAGCAAAAATTTGATGGATATTCTTTCTTAAAGAGAAAATCTGGAACAGAAATTTCTAAACCTTTGAATTCATCATATTGCTTTTTAGATATGAAACAATAATAAAAATGGAAATATAAATTTTAAAATTTTATTTAATATTTTGTACTTTTCATAAACTGTCTGAGAATCTAGGTTAAAATTTTCTTTTAAATATTTAGTTTTTAAACGAAACTTTTAAAGTTTTACATGCAATAAAATGAGTAATTTTGCTTCACCTTTCTATGTTCTATTTTCATAAATTCTTAAAACAAATTTTAACGTTCTGGAGATATAAATCGACACTTTTATAAGTAAAATATTTTAATGAAACGTTTAACCATATTTTTCATGTAAGTTTTTAATAAAAGTATTCTATATCTACCCGTAATTTTTCCATTTACAAAACATCGATTTCTACTTCATACTGATTAAATATCTTACATAAATTAATAGGAACCTCTTCTGAGTCCATGTATGCATCAATTGGAATTCAAAATAAGTTTAACTTTATTTACGATCTTAATATATTTTTATATATATCTCATTAAACACTCATATAATATGTTAACGTATCTCACAAAAGCAATTACAATGCCTTTTTCAATCAAAGTTAATTAAATTTATAAGTAAGTCACTTATATAAATATTCATATGCCATTATGTTCTGATATACTAATTCCTTTTCGCACTTTAATTATCAGATTTCTTAATAATAAACAAGATGATTTAGACTAGAATAAGTCAATACTAGGCCCGGATAGATGGAGCATTTAGTCTTATCCCGGACACAAGGTACTTCCAAAAACATATCTTTTATGTAAAAACATGTAGAGTGATGTAAATTAAAGCTTCTTTTGATAAGAGACGAAAACTTGCTTTATTGATTTTATTTATATATTCTTATGTCTTTGGTAGTGGAGCGGGTATAATATAACTTAACTAGTCTGGGTTCTTTCTGTTCTTGTTCAGTACTAATTCAATCGATATACATCTACGAGTATCAATTTGTATACATATATCAATCCTAAAAATAAAATGTTTTCTGCTCAATCTTCAATTTTATACTTAAAATTTTATATAAATCTTTATCATCGATTAAATTCCGATTAATATTTCTATTGTTGATATCAATAATATATTAAAATATTTAATTACAGTTATAGTTTGTCATGTAAACTACTGTATAATCTTATTGATTTTATGCGTTTTCAGTCAATAAAATGTTAAAATTATATATGAATTGATTAAAACATGAAAATTATATGCTGTATTAAGACATACATAAAACATATCCCTTTCTTATACAGCATACAGTGTAGTAATGTAGTGTATACAAAATACACTACAGTAACAGGACTTTAGGCCATAATATTTAAAACGCCTTTCCCTCTATCAAATAAATAATACCGGATTTAAAAGCGTCAGGCCTTAAATGGTACACTAGAAACGCGAGAATCTAAACTGCAACTTGTTTAAATTATATGTAAATCCGTTCATAGATCCAATTCTATCTTATGAATCAACATAATAAAAATGCAAAAGCCAAACTATTTGTGTTGCTGACTTCATAATTTTCTGTTTGATACAAAAAATAACGATGTACTTTTACATTAAATTAAGTAAGTTGTATAATAAATTTAGCTTATAGTCTTATTAAACTGCGGTGTTTAGGCAGATAAATCTGTGTAATGAACTAATTATAGTTGTAGAAAATTAATATTATTATTTTTAGGAGAAATAATTGATAATTACAATTAAATCATGAAACTAAATCAGATCATCGTTAATAATATTTGCTCAGACTGGTAAACATCATTCAAAGATTAACTTGGAAACAACATATACTTGTATTCATTAAACACATATTACACGAGAACAAAGTTAGACGCTTACAGTGTATAGACGAAAACTTTATACATTATTCAAAATACAGTACACTATTCGCATTTAAATGATATAGAACAGAGAACAGTATATCAATGAATGCAATATAATTCCAATTATTATTTTCCAACAAACAAGGTGAGATAAAGCAGATAATAGAAAACACATAATAAAATACAATAAATTTGATACTCTTAAACACTTTATGACACTAACCAGTAAGTACTATCAAACTGCATTATCATTTATAACAAAAATTCAACACAGTATTTAAAAATAAAGAAACTTAATATATTCACTGAGTATAATGTATTCAATAATTATGTATAACAGACAATTGCATTATCAAGTAAAAAACTTGGTAACTTAATTTTAAAATTTATTTAAATTCTATTTAAATAACATATTTAAAAGTATGTTGAATAAGTGAAATATAAGTTTAGAAAGACTAAAACAACAAAATTTTGGTAATAGGAATATAAAAAAATTTACTGAATTTTTATAATTTTTTCACGCATATAAAATGTACACTGTATATATATTAAATATATTTTAAAATAAAATATCTAACTCCATCGTACACTAAAAGTTGTACACGTGAAAAAACTAACTTTGGTTTGAAAAGAATTAATTTAAAAAATAAGAAAATTCCCAAATGTTTCACCGCAACTATATTACAAAATGCGTAATTTTTTCCATTTTTGGTTCTTTCCGTCCTGTGAACAATTTTTTGTTCTTTCCGTCCTATGGGTAGTAAGAGGGTCTTTTAAACAAGCCTGTTGTGAGTTGGACCATATCTACAATGGAACGAACGGATAGTGATATATTCGAATGGACCAGCCTCCGAAAAATTTCTGAGGCTTTTCGCCCGATTTTATTTTGGTTCCACAGAATTGGGGTGGTGCCTTAGCCATTTTCGCTATCCGATCGTACTGTACCTCTCCTGTGAACATTAAAGGAGCCTTTTTTCCATATCTATCGTGGGTTCGGCCAGACCGACAATACTGTAGGAGCGACTGGATGGCGAAGGACGAAGCCCGACATATCCGAGACTTGCTGCACATAAAAGATTCCTGGGGTGGCTCGGTAGGATTCGATTCCGAGTCTCTCATAACGGTAGGCTAACGCCTTAATTCAATCGTCAATACGCATAATTTACGGGATGTTAAATTAACATATTTATAAATTACATGTCTATTCTGCATCCGTAATATGTAAGGAATATTCTACTTCTAAAAATATCTTATGTAAGAAGTTAAAACAATAAATCACTCTAATGGAACCAAGTGTACATTTACAAATGTCAAACGTTTTAAATGAAATATGTACAAAAATATAAAATAGTAATTAATTTCTATTAATGATCATTATCAGTTGAAGAATTTAACGTATAAAGACAAAATGCTTTGCTTTACGTTACTAAATACATTTCTGAAAATCTTTAATTAAATCTCTTGTATATCGAATTCTATTCTGAGTATTTAATTACAACAAAGCTCTAAAACCAATGATTAGATCTGAAGAAATATATTATAAATTGCAAAAATACATGATAAACAGACCAAAGCCCTTATTTATGACAGGGACCAGAGAAAGAACTGGAAGATTTATTATGAGAATAATAATAATAATAATTTTTTTANAATCAATGAAAAATGAATAAAAATTAAGAATTAAACATTAAAATAATAAATAAAATTGAAGTAAAATTAAGATATAATTTCTGATATTTAATGTATTAGCCAAAATTCTAATAGAGACTAATTAATACTTCATCAGACAAGATAATTAAGAATTTTGGCGAAGTTTTCAGGTAATTTATCCCTTTTTTGGTGAAAGTTTTAGCATAGTTTAGGATAAAGTTAAGCCTGATAAATTAATGACACACCTGTTATTCCTCTCTAGCAGAAATTGCGTAAGGAAGAAATTTGATTTGACACAGTTAACTAAATTGGATAACTACAAAAGACCAGAAAATAAATTATTTTTTTATCATCTTTATTGCCATTATTATGTCGTTACTTTTTGCGGAGACTGTTAATTATAAATATAATTAATTGTGACAGACTTTGATTAATAATAATAATAATAATAATAATAATAATTTTTTTATTAAATATATTAAATTTATCAACACGGTAAGTTTTATTATGTAATTATTAAAATTTATTATGCCCATTAATAACTCTTTGCTTCGATTAATAATAATAATTTTTTTAAAACTTCTTCCTCCTTGTAGGTAGGAAATAAGCGGGCCTTATTTAAGCAGGCCCATCATGAGTTCGGTCAAGCCGACAATGGGGTGGATGGGGAGGGGAGGAATGGGGTTCGACATATCTATCCGGACAGATCACCCCTCGAAAAATTCCTGGGGATTTTTGACCGTTTGGTTTCGATTCCGGGTTCCTAGAGCGGTGAGCTACCACCTTAACTATTCGGCCATTCGGCCATCGATTTATTATAGGAAAGTTACAATCGTAATTTTTTCATTCCTTTCTCAACTCTATCTTCCCCGATATTAATATACAACATATTTCATGTAAGACATTTTAAAAAAGTTTTATACAATCAAATTCCATTAAAAGTTATTTTAATCAAGTTATCTTGCCCGCTGGGCATGAGAGCAGTTATTCGATATTTTCGCATATACTAAATATAACTAGATAAAAGTGCATGTTGTAATATTAATAATTAATTTTTATGCTTTCTAAAATGAATTTTACTTATGAATAAAATAAAATATTTTAATTTTAAAATCTACATTCCATTAACTAAATATTTGATTTAGTATCTTCTGAAATCTTACATAAAAAAATGTCTTAAAATACATTTATTTATTCAAAATCATAAATATTAAATGAATATAAAATTCGAAAATTTAATATAAAAATCAAAAATGGGTTTATTTTTATTGTTTTATTGTTAATGATCTTTATATTTGTAAAGAATAAAAATTTTTTTATTTAAACATTATCTTTTAAATATTTCATTATTTTGATTCTTTTTTAATTTATCAATAAAACTTAAAATTCTAAAATTTTCTAATTCATATTTTTAACAATAAATGATGATTAATTGCTGATTCTGTAATTTATAACTATTGTTTTTATTATGACCTATTACAAAGGCGTAACAAGTATGGAGAGGCTCTGGGACTCGCCATCCCCTCCACACTTTCGTATGACGTAACTCTCCAGTTTATCACATTTCTACCCTCCTTATGCAATTGGAATTATATAAATTAATTTTCGCAACTAAAATTTTACTTTATAGATTCCGGCTCGGGCCCAAGGGACACAGCTTCGGTTTCCTCTTCCTTTAGAAGGTCTTGATCGTGTATGTTTTTATATTTTGTCAACACAAACTTCAAAGCATTAAAATATATCAGTATTATATTTAAATTCACTTTTTTAAAAAGTAAACTTATTATTTTTCGTAGCACCAAAACTCCAGTTTGGTACTGTGTTACTCCAGTGACCTGTGTTATTTTATTAAATTTTCTGAATATAAAATAACTTTTTTGAAGTTTAATTGATTTTTTATTCTTATATAACGGAATAAAAATTCGTACTATATTGATTACATTATATCAGTATTATTGACTTATCAATGACATATCAATACGAACAATAGTTTTGATATTTTAAAACTTCAAAAATAATTTTGATTCATCTCTTATTCAAAATGATTTCAAATTATTTATTAATATGAGTTAATTTTCTATAGTTTTGTTCCAAAATTTTTGATTTTCTCTGATTTTTGAATACTCTTAGAACAATGGAGGACGCCCCAGAAATTGGGCAATAAAAACAAATTGCTGTAGGGCAGGGGTGTCCAACCGTTTTGTTTCTCTGGGCCGCATTGGAAGAAGTCAAGGAGTTTTGGGCCACAAGTACTGTACATATAATATATACTTGTGGCCCAATATACAAGTATATTTAAGGATTAACATGTCTAGATTATAATACAGTAATAAGTATTAAATCTTTATCACGAAAAAGGATATTTAAAAAAATTACTTCTACAGACATTTACTTAGAANTCAATGCCACTAGTAGTGCTAACTAAAAAATTTCCTGTATGTCTATCACCAATTCCCAATAGCCATTGGGATATACATAAAACTGCATGAGAAGTGATAAAATTATATCTAAGAATAACAAATGCCTCTAAAGATGAACTAAATTTCAAAAATGCTCGTCTGAACAAATCCCAAGGAATCATATTTATACATTCGGTGAATTTTTTATTAACTTCTGTGTCTGCAATTTTGTAAATATTTTCATAAAGTAATGGTATACTTTTATCTCTGCTGTTTGTTTTTGAAAGTAAAAATTTATAAAATGTCATTTTTGGATCCGATTCCCGAAATGATTCTTTCTCTTTATCAGTCATTGCATCTTTCAGGAAAGATCCTAAGACATTTGTGTTATCAACCCACTCAATAAGGCCAATTTTTGTGGTCAGAGGAATCACTTGGTATGTTTCTAACTTTAACTTGTTTTGGAAACAAATGGCATTACATTGATAAATATCATTCATTACATCAAAAAGTTGTTCAATACGACTATCTTGTCTAAGATCCTCTCCAGATTTTACTAAGAATTTATAATCTTTTTGATCATTGCCACGTATTGTCAAGCAACGAGGTTTGGTAAGAGATGACAAAATATCAACCTTTTGATCAAAATTACAAATCTTTACATGATGTTCAGGAATTGGTTTTCTTTTCCCAGTATACTGTCCTGGTATTTCAATATCCTCAGAATATTTTATTGAATGGAATTCACTTAACCAATCTGAAAAATCTCTAAGTTTAGCTTCTTTATTCATTTCAGACATTGTTGTTATTTTTTTTAATAAAGTTTCATATTTTACACTAGCTTCTTTTAGTGGCATTGATATTAATTTATTTCCATCTTTTCCAAATTCAGAAAACACAACAGAACCACAAACCTTTGCAACTTTTAAATGTAGTTTTCTTTCTTTCATTTTGTCTCTAGGATTATAATTAAAAAGATCTAATAATTTAATTTGCAATAGGGCCTCCAATATGTACTGTATTTTGCCTCCCGGTCCCAGTTAACATCTGGGCAGCCCTAAGCAACGGTGCAAATGTTTAATTTGTGGAAGAAAAACTTAGTAAAAACAATACTTAAAATTAATTTTATTTAGAAAAAATTAATTTGTGGACTCATCACTCGCCACTCCTCATACATTTTAATGTATTGAAAGTCGTTCTGTCCATAACACTTGAAATTTAGATGAACCGTGCCTAATGAAAAATTCAATATAATGTTACATCATTTAGATTTAATCACTGTTATGCTTTATAAATTATTTTTTATCTACCTTTTGTATGTTATAGTTTATAATACGTACGGTTTTCTCATACACTCTGAGGAATCCGGGTTCGAATTCGATTTAAACTTTCACAAATTTCACTTTCCTATCCTCATCCAGTTTAGTTGATCCATCGCTAGTCTTTCTTTTTTCATGTATACAAGACGAATTTTTAAATCTAGTATTTTGAGTACTGTAGACACACGTGTCCTATAATCATTTATTTTATTTATTTATCTAAGCAAAAAATTAGACAAAGGGCTATTGTTTCCATATTATCTTCGTAATTACACAGTCTAGTTCTCCGAACATCCGAATCCTATGAAAGAGTGAGTAGATGTACAAACAGAGAGTTGAATGGATAAATAAACGGATAAATGCACGAATGGACAAATCGAATACAAAACTACAACACTAGGTCTCTTGGTTTCCGAGAAATCTTCCGGTTAAATATGACAAACAAACGGATGAACAAGAATACAAAAATTATTTTTCAAGTCGTTAAAGATTTCACTACAATACGCTTAAAATATCTACAAAGTAGTAATTTATATAAGCGTTAACTTTTATCTGCAGTAATTAACTTTTTAAAAGATTGCAATTTTTCTACATTTGCATTTTAATTAAAAACGAGCAGAAAGTTCAGATGTTCAAAATAATAATAAATTTATAATAATAATAATGTAAAGATTAAAATATACATACGATAGCTTATTTAAGTTCGTTTATAACAAATAAAATATTACATATTCTACCAATAAGAATCCACGACCATTTCAGAATTTAACTCTTCAGTAAATTAATATGATCTTTTGGATTTAGTTTAAATATCAGCCAATAGATGGAAGCACACTGTTATGTCTACCATTATTAACTTTCTTTTTAAAATCGAAATTCCGTGCATTATTATACTGCTTAATCATATTTATATTATTTTTATTTTGGATGTTTTTGAAACGTTTTCAAATACACATCCTGTATTCTCTTTCTATAAAATTTGAAAAGTTTAATAGAAATTCTTTGTTTACAAATCTCATTGTTGTATTATACAGATGGATTTAATTTTATATTTTTGAGTTTTATCAGTCCATACAAAAAAGCAAGATAAATAGAAAACTTTTGATATTAATTTCTTATTCTCAATCATACAAAATGCAATTTTGATGCACTAAAATACTTAACTCATAAATGGAAATTTATCAACTTTCTGAATAATTTGATATTTTTAAAAAATGCATCTAAGAAATTTAATCTCCTTAATAAAAGTATGTTGAGATCTTCAAAAGAGACTAATGTTAAATAATGTAAGATATTTGTTAATCAAACTCAATATTATATAATTTTTAATTAATAAGATGGCACAGTAAGGATCTAACTATAGAAATTATTAAACATTTATCAATGAATTACAATTTCACAACAGAAATGAATATCAAAAATACTGTAAAAATCTCAGTTATGTTAATTCTGCATTGTGAAAAACAAAAACATGTTCTGTAATAAATATATCAAATAAAAAGAATGCAAGATTAATTATAATTTTTTATTAAAATTTACATATCAACTTTGTCTTACAAAATTTACAGGATCTGAACAATTAAAATATACAAAATATAATTATTATTTTTACCAAAATTTCTACTGATTAAAATGTTTCAGTAACATTTAATGTGTAATGAAATACTTCAGTCTGACATTTATAATAATATAAATAACTGACAGAAACTTGCTCCTGCCTATTATTGATATATGAAAACTTTCAATGATTTAATTACAAAATAAAATTTAAATATAATACAATCAAATGTAAATATTTAATACTAAAGTAAGTTATATATAAATTGTCAGCCTTTTCTGGAGAGAATCTTGGTGAACTTTTCAAAACTATTAACAGTAAAACACATTAATAGAAAAACTAATGTAGAAAATTTAGTATGCTTCTTAATTATAAATTTTACAATTTGTTTCATTTACTAAGAACAAATAGAACAAAACTTTATATATAAAATTATAAAAGTTTAAATATTTTATAAAGTAGAATTATTTAAAACCAAGGATCCCATCCAAAATAAATTCGACTCAGTATACCTGAATCTGTGGCTTGATCAATTAATGATTTGACTTGTTGTTTCACACTCAAACCATTCTTAGGTAGATTTTGACGAAGTGATTTTCTATCTCCAAGACACACATCTGTTAAACGTTGAAAAATAGGTTTGTTTGAATGACCCAATCTCAGTTCCTCTTTTGTGATATAACATGGATTAATTCCTTCGAGTTTTCGCTTTGCAAACAAAATGCGCTGTTTGGGGTACCAGTTAAAATCACATTCAGAATGATTGGGATCATCACTTTCAGTATTGCCAGGATAAATATTTATGTCACTATCAACATTTTCATCAACTTTTCCAATAATTCTCTTTTGTTTTAATGCATTTTCCTGCCAGTTTACTGTAGGTTCTTTAATGAAAATGTCCATTGTATTCAACAGTATATCAGCATTATCTCTTAAAGCACTTAATGCAGAAATCATAGTAGCTTCAATTACACCTTTCTCCTTCAAAGGTAACATTAAATTAAGATATTGATTAGTTAAACGAAAAGGTACAAGTTCTGGAATAGGCAAAAATTGTGTTGCAGTTCCAAAAGCATGACCAAAATCGATTCCAACTTCAATGCCAGTAGTAGTGCTAACTAAAAAATTTCCTGTATGTCTATCACCAATTCCCAATAGCCATTGGGATATACATAGAACTGCATGAGAAGTGATAAAATTATATCTAAGAATAACAAATGCCTCTAAAGATGAACTAAATTTCAAAAATGCTCGTCTGAACAAATCCCAAGGAATCATATTTATACATTCGGTGAATTTTTTATTAACTTCTGTGTCTGCAATTTTGTAAATATTTTCATAAAGTAATGGTATACTTTTATCTCTGCTGTTTGTTTTTGAAAGTAAAAATTTATAAAATGTCATTTTTGGATCCGATTCCCGAAATGATTCTTTCTCTTTATCAGTCATTGCATCTTTCAGGAAAGATCCTAAGACATTTGTGTTATCAACCCACTCAATAAGGCCAATTTTTGTGGTCAGAGGAATCACTTGGTATGTTTCTAACTTTAACTTGTTTTGGAAACAAATGGCATTACATTGATAAATATCATTCATTACATCAAAAAGTTGTTCAATACGACTATCTTGTCTAAGATCCTCTCCAGATTTTACTAAGAATTTATAATCTTTTTGATCATTGCCACGTATTGTCAAGCAACGAGGTTTGGTAAGAGATGACAAAATATCAACCTTTTGATCAAAATTACAAATCTTTACATGATGTTCAGGAATTGGTTTTCTTTTCCCAGTATACTGTCCTGGTATTTCAATATCCTCAGAATATTTTATTGAATGGAATTCACTTAACCAATCTGAAAAATCTCTAAGTTTAGCTTCTTTATTCATTTCAGACATTGTTGTTATTTTTTTTAATAAAGTTTCATATTTTACACTAGCTTCTTTTAGTGGCATTGATATTAATTTATTTCCATCTTTTCCAAATTCAGAAAACACAACAGAACCACAAACCTTTGCAACTTTTAAATGTAGTTTTCTTTCTTTCATTTTGTCTCTAGGATTATAATTAAAAAGTTCATGGCATAATTTTTTATACAATTTCACTATTTCATTTTTATCACCTTTATCTTTTTTCATTTGAAGTATTTCTTTAAAGTATTCCTTATAGAGTAATTCTGGTACAGACAGAGAATCTAGAGCATTTACAAATTCATCAACTAATTTCAATTGACTTAATGAAGATTTCAATTTCATTACAAATTCTTTGTTTTCCTTTCCTTGCAAAGTATCAGGAAATTTATACATTTCATAGCTCAGTTTAAATGGATATACTAATGCATTTGGAAAGTTAGTTCCTATTTCTTTTATAATATACTGAACTGCAGTAGCTTCTGGTTTATCTAACAATGTAAGTAGTTGATTAATCCAAGATAAAAACATCCAACAAGGAACAACTTTTGACTTTGCAATAAATTCAGGAATAGTATCAGGATATACTTCAATAATTTGTAATAATCGAGGGAATAATTTAATTGCATTTAAATTGCCATTTTTAAGAGCATTGAGTAGAGAGTTTGTTAAAACTGAAGGGTAAGTTTCAAATGATAATGATAATGTCTTTTCTTCTTCTTCTTGCATTCTTAAAATTTTATTACAGTAATTTGCAAATTTAAAATATGTTTCTCCAATTGTAGCCTGATCAAATTCAATCATTTTTTGTTCAACCTCTTGGATTATATCAATTGCTCTGCATTTATATTCATAATTCTTACAAAACAAATCAATTTCTAATTTGGACTTTGACTGAATGGAAAAAGTGTCTGTTAATTCTTGAATTTTCTCAGCATGAACATCATTATACTTTACAATATCTGCAGCCATTTCTATAATTTCACTTTGTAGTAAATAATGGTTCATTGTGGAAACATCTAATTTTTTTGGAAAATGAAGATCCAATTTAGCTAATTGTTTATGAGCACAAAGTAAAGTATCTAATTGTTCAGGATAATTCTGATTCTTAGCTTTCTTTAAATCTATTTTACAATATAAATGTATGCAATTTATCCAGTGATGATCAGCTTTTAGTTCCTTTGCTATTTGTTGTGACCATTTGAGATGTTTAACTGCTACTTGTAAGTTTCCCTGCAACAATGCAGCTTCTACAAATTTTAATTTCATTTTTAATCTTTGTTCTTTTAAAAACTTTTCACTATCAAAATATGAGTTTGGTTCACTATCGACAATTGAAGTATCCATACTTTCTTCTAAACTGAAACTTGTGGATTGATTATTTGTTTCTTGCAACTTACTTACAATTTTTTCCATATAGAGTGATCTGTTCATAATTATATCATCCCAAATATTAACAGAATCAAATATATCAGGATATCTCTTCAGCCATCTATCTGTAAGGTTTTTGAAATGATATTCATCAATATTTCTATAAGTGTCTATAAAATTTAAAAATTCTTGCAGTTCAATATGTTTCTGCAGAGACTGCAATTTTGTTTTCCTAATAATAGGCATCAAAACATTAAGGCTGGACCATTCTTTTAAAAAGTCCTGAAGACATAACTGAGAATAATACTGAGCACGATCATAATTTTCTTGGATAATATATAATAATGCTAATTCTTCAGAAAAGTTTTCTTCTAAATATTTCTTTTTATTTTCTTCTTTCAGAGCAGAATCAATAAAACAAAGTAACGACTGATCATTTCTATTTTCTATTAACAATTTTAATTTGGATTTGATTAAAAATGGTAAATAATTCTCTTGATAATATGGTTCTTCCCAAATTTTATTTAAGTTTGGCTGTTTCTGATTTTCATCAAGACGGTTTATTATACTTAACTGAAGAAGATCCCATTGAGTTAAGTAATCATAACACTGAAGTATTGCATTGTCCCATAAATCAATTTCTGCTTGATTTGGCTCTTCAGCAGACCATTCAGTTTGATCATAGAGTTTACTATAAATTTTCACAGCCAACAAATACTCTCCTCTTGATTCAAATTCTAATGCTTGCTTAGTTTCTTCTTGAATATTCAATGAATTACTGAATATTCCATGAACAGAATCATAATCACTTAAGGATTTATAAATTTCTGCCATTTTAAGCCATATAGATAATTCATCAGAAATTAAAGGTTTATTTAATTTTATTCTTTTTGCAGGATTGCTAGATTTAAAGTTATTGTAACAAATAAGATGATCTTCTAAAAGTAATATTCCAAGACTTTGTTTATGACTAGCTTGTGATGCTGTACAAATTTGCTCATAATCAATATCCATTTCTTTCACATCACAGTTTAAACATTCATAACAAAAAGCAACAAGTTGAGGATGATAATGTACACTTTTCTTTAAAATTTCATTCAATGCACTTGATAAGCTTCTACAAAATTCTGAATATTCTGTCACTTGATTACTTTTCATGTAACAACAAACAGATAATATTAATGATTGGAAAAGCATTCTACAAATTTCATCATCATGTTGTGCAAGAGCCTGAAGTGGAACAATTATAGATGAATAGTTTATTTCAATATCAGGTAAATCTCCTATACGATACTGCCGATAAATTGTGACTTGACCTTCTCTCTGCTTTTTCTGCTCTTTTTCTCTTTCCTGTCTTAACTGTTGTTTTCTCATTTCCATTCGAATAAAATGTAATCTGGACTTCTCTCTATCTTTCAAAAATCTTCTTCTCAAATGAAATGTATTAGATGATGAAAGTTTCTCTATTTTGTTTTTGGATGTATCTTGGTTTGAATTTCTGTTATTTTCATCTATGTTTGGAATTTTTTTTGTATCACTTCCAATAGTGAAAAGTAATGATGACGATGTGGATGAAGATCCCCAATCACCCAAAGTATCAATTGAAGTTTGAGTCAACCAATTAAATGCTTTCTTGGATGCTTGATCTTGTGTAGGATCAAATTCTCTGACATCTACGGTAGATCTGATCTGTTCATCTATATTTTTTACACTCGTATCAGAAAAACTAGCAGCAGATGACAGAGAATCAACAAACCAAGGTGTTAAAGTAGCATGACGTTTCTTCCATGATGACGATATAGCATAATTTTGAAATGCACACGTAGATAGTGGATTTTGAAAGATTTTTAGATTATAATCAGGACTTTTTGAAGTCATCTCCATTAAAAGAAATGTTGAATATTGAAGAAACATGTGTTCAATTTCTGGAGAATACATTTTCTGTAGAACTGCTTTAATTCTGGAAAAAGTCTCAGCTGGCAAATGATTATTTTGACTCCAAAAATTATGAACAGTAAGCCGAAGTGTTAAATCAGAATCAGCAAGACCATGCAAAAGCATTTCTTTTGCATATCTACTAATTTCTTTTTCTTTTATCCCATTTTTTGTGTTAAATTTCTCATAAGCATGCATCATTATTTCATACATCACTTTGCGACAAATTGTTTCAGCACTCTTATGAACTTTAGAGATTATTGGAAATACATTAAGCATTTTGTCAATATCTAATTCTTTTAATAATTTTTGAATTATATTTAATGAACTGAATTGAATCGATTCATCTCTATGTTCTAACATATTCAAAAGTCCTTGATTTTTAAGTTCTGCAAAAGCATTTTCAATATTTTCAACATGAGAATTTATGATTTCAAGGATTTGTTTTCTAAATATACCATGCACATTAGGCAACATATATAATATTTTATTCAAGAATGAACTATCAATAAATATTGGAAAGTGAGTATTAATTTTATAAAGACAAGTCAAATATTGATCCTTTGCATTCAATGAAGAGATTTCAGTTTTTACTATTTTACAGAATTCACTATAAACATCATCATCTTTATCAAAATAATATTTCATGCTCATACCACAAACTTCTGATGCTGATTCATAAATTTCTTTATATTTGTTTTTCAGGTTTACAGTTAATGTTTTTAAATAGCTTATTTTATCTATTCTAGATGTATTTTGATAAGGATCTAATCCATTTGACACTACAATTCCAAATAATTGAATTCCAACAATATTATCTTTTACTTTTGTATCTAGATTTCTCATACTTTCAAAAATAATATATGTTGGAATATCAAGTCGTTCTTTCCAACATTGTACAACTGTTTTTATCATTTCTAAATTATTTCGGAAAACATCCTTACGTATATGAAAACATTTACTCATTAAAAATTCTAGAAGTCCACTTGCTGCATGTCGACCTATAGAGGAATCTTCAGGAATTGCTATTGAAGACCAAGACAACAATACAACCATTAAGTCAAGGATGAAGTAATTTATTTCCCTTCCGAAAGTTGCATTCAAAATTAAATTAATTAATGGTTGCAAAAGAAATACTGCATAAGGTTTAAAAATTTCTGCATTGTTTATGAATAATTTAGTTAAAAAAAGTTTGATATTTCTATGAACTGAATAATCTTCTAATTTCTTGCATAAATTATCTAACCATTTTGGTATTTCTTTAGGTGAAGAAGATAATAATTGAATTTTTTCCATATGTTGTACAAGCATGGTGAGAGAATTCATACATTCGTGCTGATTCAAATCATCAATTTCTAATTCGACTGTAATGTTTGAAACTAAATCATCATCTTTTGCTTCATTACTTGGGTTTGAATCTATTTCTTCTTTTCTATTTTTATTTTTCATATCTTGAGAAAATGCTAATTCTGAAGAACTAAAATCAAACTGGCTAACATCATCACTAAGACTACTATCAGATAAATATTGTGATGGTGCATATTTTAAAGATGAAGCAAAATTTAGAGTTTTATTGGAATTTAATTCTCTATTTTCATGTCGAACAGAAATAAATTTTCTTCTTCTTTCTATGGTATCAAGTTCAATAGGAAAAGTGTATTCTTTATTTAAATCTATAATATTTTCCCAGATATATTCACCTTTGGCAAAATTTTCTTGGAATAGGAATGTTGAATAAAATTTTGAATCAGTTTGTGTACAACATATGATTGCAATAACTGCATTGTAAGCTGCACAACAATATTTTCTGCAGAACTCTTTTGATATTGATTCACCTTCCAAATTTTCCTTTCTTGCAGCAATAGCAAATCCTGTTGCTTCTCTTGTAAGTTCTTTTCCATAAGAGCAGTTAATTTGAGATTCTTTTGAAACTTCTTCTTTTGATAAATATGTATATAATATTTCAATAAGTTGAAATGCACCAATTTTAGAAACAAGTTGAATTTCATTTGAACTTTTACGTTTGCTTTTAACAATCTGCATAATTTCTTTTATGTGATCTATAAAGAAATATTTTAATGTTATTTTAGAAATCATGCCAAGTATAACTCGAAAGACTTTTTCGATAATATGAATTCTCATATCACTAGGATATAATTCATCCTCCAGAAACATCTTTAATGGAACTTCAGCAATCAATCTTTCTTTATTAGAATCAGTTCTCTTGCATAACTTTTTTAAACATTTTTGAATATTCTCTTCTAATAAATGTGTTGATTCTCTGCACATTATCTGGATCACAAACTTTAAAAGCATTTCATTTCCTGTTAATTCTAAAGCTATTAGGAGTTTTGTAAATGCTAAGTGATAGTCATTATATTGTGAGCTGCCTGGTTTCAGTTCACTTGAATATAATGGAAAATGATTTGTAAATAAATCATTAAGAGCAGCTTGTACTTTACACAAAAATGCATCACATAAGAAGAATGGGAGAAGATCAAGAACACATATTTTAAATTCTAGTGACATTTCACTCTTTTGTAGTAATGTTATAAATGAAAAAAATATTGAATTAGAATCGTAATTAACATTTCCTTTTATAAATGATGAATCAATTAAAAACATTTTAGTAATTAATGTTATAATATCATTTTGTAGATCTATGTCACAGCTTTCTTCTAAACACTGTTGTAACCTTGACCATTGACACATTATACTATTTATTATATCTTTACCATATCTATATCTAAATTCTTTTACTTTTCCAATAGAATCAAGAATTCCTACTAAAATTTTAAGAACAGTTGTTTTTGATTTATTGATATTATTCATTAAAGAAGAAATGAAGTGTTTTGAATTTATACCAGCAAATAGTGAAATTTCTTGTTGATAAGTAGAAAACATAATGAGACCTCTTCTTGTTTTAGTTTTAAGATTTGACACATACAACTGTTGCTCATCTAATAATTTTTTCAAGAGATCTTCACTTGAAATATCTAATTTTAATGCTACTGTCAACATTTTTTTTCCAAAATTTAAGACAGATGGATTTAATATAGGAATACAACAGCCAATTTCAGTTTCTAAAATACAGCTCTCCCAAACAGATGATAACATATCACAAGCCAATTTTTTGGATTTATTACAATTTTGTTTTGGCCAAAGTTTGTTTTCAATTAACTGTTCATAACCTAATAACATTTCTTGAATTTCCAGAATCTTCAAATCCTTATCATTCAAGTTTAATGGAAATAGATTATATATATTGCATTTGGATTCAAGATATTCATAAAGATGCTCATTAAAATTATTATATAAAGGTTTTGGCATATATTCATAGAATACTTTCAATAACGTTCTTGTTTCTTTAGGAAATTGATTAAAGATATAAGTATCTGTCATGTCAAATCCAAGAAATTTTGGATTAAGAACTGAAGAATAAATACAGTTCCAAAAATTTATGCTCCAGAATGTTGATGGAATTGTATTTAATTGTAAGTGATAATTTTCAACTATTGTAGTTACAAAATTTATTAATCTTACAATAATAAAGCAATTTAATCTTAAATATTCATCTTTTTCTTTGGGTGAGAATATTTGCTTTTTAACAGATTCATGAGTGAAAAATGCTTGAACTCGCTGATCAAAATCAATGCATAGAGTTTTTAAAAAAAATTCAATAGAAGGAAAAAATTTAGATTCTCTATTACTTGCATCATTGAAAATATCTGATAACTTCAAAACACTTTGACCAAATACCCAATAATAACAATCAAGCATTGTATGTAGACCTTCTAACCAATTAATAATTGGTTTTAGTCCATCATTTTGATTAAAGCTTGGTACAGTATTTGACATTTCTGATTCAAAACAATTCAAAAAGAATTTTTTTCCTTTTGTTTCTAATAAATGAGAAAAATAATCTTTACATCCATTAAAACCTGATAAACATGGTGCTAATTGAAATACAAGTTCCATGCATTTATGTCTACATTCAGTCTGCAAACATCCACAATTTTTTAAAATCCATTCCACAACTTCTGGCAAAATAGAATCATTAATATTTCTTAATGGTCTTCTTTTCTTTGATGTCTTACTTAAAAGTTTTGCTTTTACCTCCATTATTCTTTCTAAATGATTTAGAGCTTGTTTACATTTGTCTTGAGTTCCTAAAATTTTATCATCATAATGAGCAATAGCAAGACTTTCTATAAAATGAACTGCTATTTCTAAAGTAAATTTATCAACAAGAGATTCTTCTTCTCTAAAAATTGTATATATACTATTAAATGCTAATGCTGCTCCTAACCTTTTGTATGGATTAGGATGTAGACTGTAATTATACAAACAATTCAAAACAACATTCATTCCAATGGGGTTTTCTTCTTGTTCTCTTACTGAAGTTTGCTTGATTGACCACTGTACAAATTCTTTAAGACAGCGTGCACTGAAATCTCTGAATACTGCATCTTTAGACTGAACCAATCCATCCCAAATAACCTGAACAAACTGTTTTGTTTCATCACTATTTATCATTCTTTTTGTTGTAAACCAGTGAATTAATTGAAAAGTGAAAGGTTCAAACAGCTTTCTAGCAACTTCATCAACATCACATGCCAGTTGAAGTAATGCAGGTAATACATTTTTGTACAATTTTTTCATTGAATATATTGCTTGCAATTCAGGTTGTTGTTGTGCTCCACAACCAACCATAAATGTCACAACAGCATGTAACAATTCACAAGCAGCAACTTTTGTTTGTCTTTGACTTGCTGTTGTTGAAAGTGTCACAATTCGTGGGAGAAATTTATCTAAAAATATTTCTAACTTTACATCAATGAAAGGTAAGTAAAATTTTAAATGATTCTGCTTATTAATATCCCATGCTACAGCAACTTCGTGTATCTTTATTTTATCAGCAGATATCATTGCAAAATTATATTGATTGCCAACAGATCCTAAAAATCTTAAAATTCGATGCTGTACTTTAATTAATTCAGATTCATGTAAATCAGTTTGTTTTATTTTTTTATATTGACTAATTTTTAAAGGTAATTTTTTCTTTACAACTAAAGACTGCTTGGTAAATGTATGAATATTTTTTAAAGGCTGAAGTGAAATATTATCACTTGCTAAGAAATAGTCATTCAAACTTGGTAATAGTTTGCAATAATGCTCTTTTAACAATTCAGAAGGTAAAGAATATAACCACGTTTCTAAAGCATCTAAACAAGACATTGCTAACGGCAGATAACTAAGACCCAACTGAAGAGAAATCTGTACTGCAGGAATTAAAATATTGATTTCTGACTCCACAATTTCAGTTGGCAATGAAAGAATAACTTCTATACATGATGCAAGAAGTTCATCTTTGAATTGTTGCAAATATATAACAACTTCTCTTGAGAATTTAGCAAATAATTCAAAAGCTATCAAACAATCTTTCTCTGACATACTTATTTCTTCCTTTGTTTTTAATTTCTTAACATGCTGGAAATATCTTGTTTTCTTACATATTGTTAGACATACAGTTATTAATTTATAAAATCCACTAATGTATGGATTTTTGTTTATAAATTGAATAATTTCTAACCCAAAAATGAGAATCCACTTTTCAAATAATTCATTATGTTTTGATATAAATAAATCCTTGCAAAAATCAACAATATTCATGAAAACTCTAAAATCTTTTGGTTTACTCAGCTGTAAACCATAAAATGGATCAGATACTGTGCTGTATAATTCAGAAGTCTCAAACTGTTTCAAGTTACTATCTTTTATCTCACTATCTTGCATAGAATGAGTAGTTGCTAGGTCTAGTTTCTTCAGTAGAGTAAGTACTACTGAAATAATTTCATCATATATTAATTGAAGGAGATTATGTCGATCTTCCAATGAAATGCCAATATGATTTAATTCTTTATTTCTTACAATGTAAAGAAGATTTTCCCATAAGGAACTGTAACTTTTACTTGTTATCTCTCTAGGATTTTTTAGTTCTAAATTATCTCCACTCATATTTTCTTCTCTTGCCTCAATTTCAAACCTTACAGGATATGAGCAAGTTCTTATAATTCCTTGATAAATAATTTTATTTAAGAATCCTTTGAATTGTGGACCTTTAGAATGTACAGCCAAAAATAATTTGATTAAAGAATTATAGCATAAAAAATGATAAGGTGATGGAAGATAAGGAAAATTCTGAATCTGAAATACAGCTAATTTTTCAAGATAATTAAGAGAACTTTCTGAAATTTCTTGTAATTGTAAAACAATACTTGACAATGAATCTAGAAAACTTGGTAAAATTTGAATTCGTTCATCTAATATTTTCTCCTCATTTAAACAATGTTGTTCACTTTTCTTAATTACATCATTAAGCATATACTTTACATCCTTTTCAGTCAAATATAATTTACAAACTTTTGCAAAATATCCAAACCCTCGAATGGCTGTAGAAACTCTACGAATATTCTCAGAACATTTTATCATTAACTGAAATTTTTCTATAAAAAATTTAAATATTTCAGCTTTACAAGAATCTTCATAATTTTGTTCCAACATATCAGAAATCTGTTTAAATACTGCATCAAGAGCATTATAACCTAAAGACCTAACTTCCCTATTAGAATGATTTGTCCAAATTTCTATGATTTTGTAAATGTTCATACTGTCCTCGTATAGAAATTGTGCCAAAAGTGAAGCATGTGACGAAAGCAACGTTAGAGATGCTTTAGCCATATCATATGTTTTAACATCACGTTTCGACAAGATTATACGTATAAATTTAAATAACTGGTAAGCTTTTTCTGTATCTTCGGTATCTTGAAGAGGAAACTGATACATAAATTCATTGAGTCCTTGAAGACAACCAACAATAATACTACTTTCAGATTTTTGATTGGATGTTGTATGAAATTTTAAATCCTTTAAGTACCAATTTAATAATCGTTCCGAACACAACTGCATACAATCGGGATAATGACGTGAGGAAATTCCTAAAAGGTAATAAGCTTGTTGCTTTACAGTAGGTGTTATTTTTGAAGATGCCTGAGCCAAATATTCAATAATTTTATTAACTATTTTTTGGAGATTAAATTGTTCCGACGAAATCGCACCACTGCACAATTCTAACACTTTTATCAGTGCAGATAAAGCTAAAATCTTTACTTTGGCTAACTGATTTCGAAGAAAAATTGAAAATACGACATCTTTGACCGTAATTCCATACTGAACTACTTTATTTCCTATATTAATAAGAAACAAATTTAAAAATTGGAGAGCTTCAATCAAACTATCTTTCAACGAAGGTGTATTAACAGCTTCTTCTAAGAAATGTAAAAATCCATCTTCTTTTCTCAAAATCAACGAACAGACATAACTACGATCTTTTTCTGATAAAGTACCACGCAAACAAATTTCACTGATGTCTTTAATTACGTAAATACTTGAATGTCCTTCATCTTTCTGATATTTTATAAAGTCATTTAACTTCAAAATATTTTCGTGAAGACTATTCGTAATTTCGTTCATTTTTAATATTAAAACTTAGGCGTGTCACTTCTAAATTAACTCGAAATTGACTGACACTACGAGAACTTGGTCAACAAATTTCATTTTGGCGGAATGAATTTGCAAACAGTGTTGCCAGATATTTTTCCGATAAATGTCATCACGTACTCCTCGAAAATAGCCAAAAATCCTCCAAATATTTTAATTGAATTCTTATATTCTTGTATATATATTTTACGTACCTTAAAACCGCAGTGCCCAGTCTTTAGTCTACCTTGAGCAAATTAAGAATGTAAAAATTTTAGGCGAGCCACACAGGCCGACAACCTTTATTTGAAAAAAATCAGCAACAACGGATAAAAAAAATAATTATATTACACTACTTTTTTCTCTTTCCACTCTGTGAGCACTAAGAGGGCCTCTTTTTTGCAAGCCCATTATGGGTTCGGCCAGGCCCACAATGGGCTGTCGGGTGGTGAGGGACGGAGCCCGACATATCCGAACGGACCACTCCCCGAAAACTTCCTGGGGATTTTTCGAACCCGGGTCCCCCAGAGCAGTAGGCTTGACCTTGACCGCTCGGCCATCCGGCCGCCTAAAAATTATATCAGCTATTGTAGATGTTTAATTAGAGAGGTTGCTGCCGACGTTTTCAACGCGAAAATCAATTCTAAGATTTTCCTGTAAGCCTTGAAGTTTGACAACGTCGGTGGAATCGTGCTCGATTAGTGATGTAACGAATATTCGGTTACTATTCGGTATTCGGCCTATTCGGCCTATTTTTCACTATTCGGCCGAATACCGAATACCTAAAAACAGGAGTAATAAATAACAAAAACACAGTAAATTAATCATTTTGGTATTTAGATTTAATGTTATCGAGTTAGTGTTGTTTGTTTATATTTATTTATAACTTGTAACATGCACAAAATAAAAAAGAAAATAATATTAGTCACATGTATTCACAATTTATAATTACAAAGATCAGCACACGTACACGTCTATCGTTGGAGAATCCTCGCACATCTGAGGGTCTGACCCTGCCTATCCTTCTTTTTAAGCGCTCGTCTTTGCTCTTCCCTTTCTCTTTCCTCTATCGCTCTAATCCATGTATGCCTGTGCATACATCATAATACGCGCTCACGATACTTTCGATTCGTCACTTTTCCGTCGTAGAGTTCCCATTTTACAATTACGTGACTCAGCCTGGTGATAACGGAGAAAAGAGACAGATAGGACGTCGATATAAGTCACAGTTATGATTTCACAGATTCGAGACAGCTTGATAGCCCGAACGGCCCCAGGCTTTCGCCCGTGCACGCTAAGTGACTTTCATTACAAGCATTTAGCTTTCCGAAGTCTATGACAACAATTGTTTGGCATTGACGGCCGCGAATTTCGTGCCAATAAGCTGCCTCGACTTGTTCGATTATGTTATCAACTCAATTTCATATTTATTTTCACATTTTCACTTCGCGGTCCTTCTCTGTTCTTTTTCCGTTATTTACACGTGTAGGTCATTTCATTGTTATCCACATTTGATATCATCATTTATCACATACTTCCATGACACTCTTGTCTGTCCGCTACAACTGCCAAGAATTAACGCGATTGGCGAAGCGTAGTGACAGCGGGCCAATAGAGAGCAGGATCCTTGCCATAATGCGGTTTGCGCGCCAATTTTCGTACGTGTGTTAATCAAGCCGAATAGTTTGGCCGAATATTCGGCTATTCGGCCACGCTCCTGGCCGAATATTCGGTATTCGGCCTGAGGCCGAATATACTATTCGTTACAACACTATGCTCGATGTTCCAAACGCCATTTTCAAACTTATAGGCTCACAGGAAGGCGGAGCTGAACGTCCGACGTACACGTTTTCGCGTTGAAAACGTCGGCCGCAACCTCTCTATTATCAAGAAATTCAGTCACTCGTAGAATAGAAGAAATGTCTGAAAATATCAATTGATATATATCAAGTTCACAATGAGATGAATCAACAGACGTCTGCAATACTGTTCAAATAAATATTTTTGTAAGGATGGTCTTTAACGACTGCTCGGTAAAAGAAGGTATACTCTCAGTTTTGTAACTACAAGGAAATACACGTGGAAAGAACATATACCAAGTTATTAAAAACTGTATTAAAGAATTAATCTGCCCCTTCAAAAACTTGTGTTCACAGCAACCGACAGAGCACTTTCCGTGATTGGTGTTTACTTAATCCTATTATATAAGAATGATGCTGAGTTTCCAAATTTTTTTCATTATCACTGCATCATTCATTCGTCAACAGGCATTATGTACAAAAGTATTGCATTATGAACATGTTATGAAAGTTGTTCTAAAAATTGTAAATTCTATTCGAGTCAGATCACTTTAGAGCAGATTATTCAAAATACTGACTGATGAACTTAATGCTGAGTATGGAATTTTAATGTTACATTCCGAAGTTATATGGCCTAGTAAGGGAAAAGTTCTACGTCGATTTATGGAGCTTCTTCCAGAGATAAAACTGTTTATAGAATCCAGAAACGAAACTTATGAAGAACTTAATGATCACGGTTGTCAGATTCATCCTTTCTTATTGATATAACAACCAAAATGAATAAATTGAATCTTGAACTTCAGGGGAAACAAAGAACTCTTTTTGAATTAATAGGAAGTGTAAATGCATTTCAGTCAAAATTAAATTTTTGGATATCCCAAATTAAAGAATGTAACTTCACCATTTTCCAAATTTACAGAACTATATTCATAAATATAAAAAACTTGAATCAGATAAATATTCTGAAAATCTCGCTGAACTTAAAAATAATTTCGAAATTAGATTTTCTGATTTTCGTAAAATTCACCCAATCGTTTCGTTAATTTGAAATCTATTTGTTAATATTAATATTTATGAAATATCGCAAAAGATTGCAAGTATTTGAATAAAAATGTCAGTATTTTAGAAACGGAAATAATCGATTTTCAATCTGACCTACAATTAAAAAGAAGAATATCACAAACTGATTTTTAGACACTTGTGGATGAGAGCAACATAACTTTTAAAAAATTGAGTTCAGCAAAAGAGCATTTTGCAAACTTTTTTGGTGAAGATGGGAAGTTTTGGGACTCGTTGCTGTATGTCTGGATATTATGAATCCTAAGTGATTGTATAGTTTTTAATCATTTAAACTTTATAATACATTCTAAATAAATAATGCTCCATCTTCGTATTTTCAATTCCATTTTTCTATGTCAAACAAAACGATATGTTCAGTTCATGTGTTTCTAAATCTCATATTAATATTTTTGAAATATATTGCCTAAATTCTTATCTTCATTATATAGTAAAACTAAACTCTTAAGGTAATTCTTGCAATAATGCATTAAAGTAAAAATAAAATGTATAATCTGCCTTTTAAATTCAGGAATAAAATATGCGATTGGAAAAATATACATAAAAATAGTAGTATTAGAGTAATACTTATACTAGTTATCAATACAGTATCAGCTATGTTAATCAGGATTCAAAATTAGTTGATTATTCCGGAGGAAAATTTCGCCCTCCCTTATTTAGGTATTTCAATTTAAAAGACCAAAATTCAGAATTCAGTTTTGTCACAGAACAGGCAATGAAAAATTCGGTGGTAGTGCAGCGAACTGTTTAAAATAGTTCTATTGGATATTAGTGGTGTATATGAACGCGAATGAATCGTACAAGCAAAAAAAAAAAAAAAGGTCCTCGGATGAAAAAGTTATTAGTTCACCCGGCGAGCCGATTCCCGTGCTGTCCGGACGATAGCACTATCGTAGGCGCGATGCAAGTATAGATTAGGACGTTTCAAAATTTTACAAGATATTTTTATTATTTATTGTGAAAATTTGCCGCCCCCTAAAAAGTGCTGCCCGGGACAGACCGCCCCTACCGTCCCCCTACGGTACGCCACTGCTCAGTACTGCTGATACCAATACCGTATCAATACTTTCCTTCGATACTTTTGCACTCGAAACTTTTGGTCTAATATCCGAGGAAAAGTATACTTTTCCTCGGATATGTATATCAGCAATGTAGCAACGTCTCTACCCCAGAGACTCGTGGGCGATCCCCTTTCGGCAGATCGCCCACGAGTCGCGTTGCCGTAAACGAATAAACAGAACAAAACCAAACAGAACAAAGTACAATGAAAGTATGCAAGTTGTTCGATTGTCGAGATAATGAAATGAGTGTGCTTGATTTATTTTACTGTCGAATTTTGATGGCTACATAAACAGTTAGAATTAGATTTGGTCGAGTGAAAATCCAGATATATTATGTGAAAATTCATTACATCTACAAAAATTTGAAGTGTAGTGTCCAGGTCTTACAGGTGATAACGAAGTATAACTTACTAGTTATGTAACGCTGTATCAGCGTTTAGTCGGAGCGAGGCTGCTCGCACCTTCATTTTCTAAATTATGAGGAAAAAAAGAGAGAAAGAATCATCCGTTCTCAACAATATATTTGATTTCTATTGTATCATTTAAAGGTACAAATATAAGGTCAGAATAGGCCATTAATTAATTGCTATGCCAACGTATCATGAAATTCTGTTTATCACTATGGGCCTTGGACTTAACAGATTGACTCGTAGCGATCTTTATTGTAACTGTTTAAAAATACTATGTCAGTTATTTTTTTCACTCGACTGAATGCAACATAGGTAAGACCGATAGCTATCTCTTTTTTTTACCTATATCTATTTATTTTTGGAAGAGTTAATCCCTGTGATTTATGTATAGTCATCGAGTATGCTAAGGTAAGGGAAAACTGTCTACGAGATCGCAATATAGGCCTACTGCCATCGTTCGAAGAGCGTGTTATGGGAATTATTGGAAACAGATTACCATAGATGAAAGGTTCCTGATAGCTATCGAATTCCACTAAAACAAACAGAAGAAGAGTTAGAGGGCGAGCATTAGGAGCATATATAATGTAGCGTATAGTTCCTAGTGAACCATTGAGGCGACCTCCTTGCACCCATAAGTTGACTCTCAGCATGATTCTGGCATTAACTGAGTGATTCAAATACTTGGAGAGACCAAGAGCTGAGTCATCTTTGGACGAAGGCAGGGCAATATCTGAAGAGTT